GTAAGCCATATACGATTCTCTGTATCAGTATAATGCATAGTAGGACCCTTGCCTGCTTTTGCATTAAACTCTGACACTAGCTATAGACAGTGGCAACGAAGGCTTTTCACAAAACATTCTGTTATAAGCAACAATAGATGCTGATGTAAGGATGGCGGAGGCATTCAGCAATTTGTTTAGGCTTTCACTTTGGTCAACAGCAAGATATCAGGTAACCCATGAGCTCTCCACAAGTGCCCCCATGGAGCCACAATTTTCATGTAATTATATATATATATATATATATACATATATACATATACCAGCTACTGGGCAAATTGCCCCCACATTAATTGGATACTCCCCAAAGAATGAAGACTTTCCATTTTGGATAATGCATGGGACTTTTGTCTCGCCTCACCTATGAGTTGAAGTCAACTTTGCACACACTGCATTAAAGAATTGGATTTCCAAGAAGGTTACTTTCTATATTCATTGTCCCCAGATAACTACCCATAATGCATTTGGTGACCCTCTGACCTTTCTTCAATGCCACATTGACATCAAAATTTACATAATTACACAACAAGTTGTAATGGGCAGATGTCACTGAAGCTACACATTTATACTTCCCACATGATAAATGATAAAACAGCTTTTAGTGGAAAGTATTTGAATTCTATATATTGTGTAATAAATATTCTAAATATGCATAGTGACTGCCCTCTACTGGTTGATACTATTGCAATTTAATTTCACTATCGACTGATCTGATGCCAGGTGACATATATGGTGTTATTTATTTTATTTTTTTATTCTTAGGGACAACGCACACTGATCAACATCACTTTAAGTGTTAGGCCATTAAAACAACAAATGCAACACACATGTACATCGACTGGATGTACATGTATATATATGTCACCTGGATCTACTGATCAGGTGACATATATGGTGTTATTTATTTATTTATTTCTTAAGTGTAGCAATGCAACAATGTAAAATAACTCAATTACAGATGCCTGCTTTCAAAATCTCATTTAATGAAAAGTACAGCAGTGCAAAATGCACTAAAGTATTAAAAGGTAAAAAAGTGCACATGGCCTCTTGCAGTGTTATAGTATTTGTGTGAGAAGTAGGCTGCTGTCAGCTGGTTGCTGGGGAGTTAATTTTACATGTATACTGTTGGGTAGTTTAACCTTTCACAATGCATCATTATTCATGAACCAATCGTATGTTTTTCATGTGAAAAGTAACTATAACAGATACATTTAGTGGAGTAAAACATTGACTAGAATATGGCACGCTGAAATGCAATATTCTACAAATGGAGTGGAATTATAAATTATCAATGAATGGCAATGATCATGTAGTTCAGAATTGTGCTTAAGTACAGTCCTTAAGGAAATGCACTTAGTTACATCTAAAATATGTTACGATGCAACTCAACCTTTATACCACATTATAGTATTTTGAACAAATAAACATGTGGCAGATCACTGTTGAAGCTTGTTACAGTTAATAGTTACTTAACATATTGTTGACAAACAATCTTACCGTAAGTTCGATTTAGAAGCATTCTGGAGCTTTCAATCATGTCACATGATCTACATGAACACATGTTGGCTTTAACGTTGAGTTTCAAAGTTCACCCTGAACATTGGAAACAGCAGTTGACAAAACAATCGCATTTCAAAGTTCCATTTAGCAGCTGTAATTAATCCATAATATATAATAGCACTAATTTTACTGAATATTGTAATTATTCTACTGTTACTTCTGTCTACTCTGTATGACTTGACTCCTTTTCAGGAAGACTGTACAAGGCTGCTGTACCTGGGATGCTTATAGATCCACCAAGTCTAAGCTATCATTATTCAAATATAAACTCCAAAAGTGTGACACTGCACACTAGTCTATTAGATACACATGTACAACCTATTGTCAAATACAACAGACCTTTTTTAATACTTTGTCCTTCTTGTGTAGGTAAATGTTTTTAGGGACTGCTGAAGCTCCTAAATAAGAAAGTCTTAGACTGCATAAACATGTGGATGTTATTTTCTAAAATAATGACCATTTCCAATATGTATTCATATGAGGCATTGTTTTACTACTTCTACTTTATTACCATAAAAGTATTACCAGCAATACCAGAAAATACCAGCAAAGTATTACACCTAATGCACAGTATTGAGTTTCGGTCTTACTGGTTTATTGCTGCGAACAGGCAATTGTGACATCTTTAGCAGACAGATTTCCTGGAGTGTGCATGCTGTATTGATCAAAAACACTATTTTTGTTACAAATAAAGATTTTTGCAGACCTCAATAAGGATTTCTATGTTGTGGTGATTTCATTACTGTGTCTAAACGATTGTAACAAAAGATAATACTTTCAGCAGAGGAGGAAGCAAAATACAGTCTGTGTCAACTAACAGGCTTTCTGGATCATCACATAGAAAGGCACTTTGTGAAGCTGTTTGCTTTTTGTGTTGTTCGTTTGTTTGCTTGCTTGTAGCCCTGGTGAAGTATGTTTCTTCATATTGCTTTTGTTGATTGTTTGGCAAAGACAAAGATATCATTACTCCAAGTCATCGTGGTTCTGGGTTGACCCGTTGCTCACCTGAACGAGGATGTAGAGGACAGAGAGAAGGTGAGCAAGGCTGTGTGTTTGAGCTAAAATGACCAACAGAAAACTACTTCATTGATTGAAAATCACTTGAAGTGGATCCTACCTGATCGTCCTCGGTCTCAATGGTCTCAGTGGTCTTGATTAGATAGTTCCATTTGGAAACACATTCTAGTTTTTTCAAAAAAAGAAAATTAGTGTGTTATTTTATTCAATAACCAATGCTAACATTCCTGCTGTGACAACATGCAGAGGGCGATCCTACCTCTCGGGTTCGGAGATGAGAAGTTTGGCAGTGGGGTGGTGATTCTGAAAATAGAGAAAGTATAGTCCACAAATCAACATGGGTGTCTTTAATGCACGACATGAATATTCATAACACATCTATCAGCTGGACTTTTTTGAAGATCTTCATCCTCCACCTGTTCTCCTCTCCATCCAGCAGCTTCCTGTAGGTGGCAATCTCAATGTCCAGGGCCATCTTGACATTCAGGAGGTTCTGGTACTCCAGGAGGTGACGAGCCATCTCGTCCTTCATGTTGAAAATGTCCTTCTCCAGGCGGCCGATGCTTTCCTGGTAACCGCCCGTCTCCACAGAGAAGTTCACCTCCACCACCCTCATCTGACGCACCATGGACTCATTCTGGGACGGCAGCCAAGTGGGAACAAAATCACACTTAGGTAGTAAAAAAAACTGAAATATAAAGGGTTTTTTGAATACATGACCTGTGAAAATAAACTATCCCTGGAAATGTATCAACTATTCAAAAGCACTCAACTTTTTCTGAACCTTTTGTCCATTTGTTTGATTCCTGCTATGTATGCATTGAAAACACTGTTTCTTTGCATCGTTATCTTTTATAATACAGTGTAAGCCTATAGTTGCATACTCACAGTTCCTTTAAGGGCATCCACCTCACAAGTAAGGGACTGAATTTGGCGTCTGTAGTCAATGGCCTCTTGCTTGGCCACTCTCAATGCATCATCATGCCTGGCTGCAGCTTTGGTGAGGTCAGCAAACTGGCAACCACAGTAACAAACATAGAGAGAAAAGGGGAAGAACTGAAAAATCAACTGTTGAATACATGCTGAGTCAGAGGTTGAGGGAAAGTGTCCATGGCAGAGACGGTGAATATTCCAATATTCAGTCTATTTTAGCTCTGTTTTGGTCTCTACCAAGTCCTGGGGGAAATTTGTCAGTCATTTGGCCCCAAACAGTAAAGTTGGGGTCCAGAAAACCAAAACAAAGAACTGAAAGGCACTAAAATGCTCCATAGGGTTAAGGGGATGCAGAGTCAGGTGAGTTCAATATATAATGGTTTTCAAATACAAGTAAATAAATCTAAAATGTGCAGAATGTGCTCTAATACATTTATTCGGTTGCTTTTGGATTTCTTGAACCTTTTTTCTCTCCAACTTTGTGGAAAGTCTTTACCTTGGATTTGTACCATTTCTCAGAGTCGTGGAGGTTTGCGGAGGCCATCATCTCATACTGCTTACGGATGTCTCTCAGAGCAGCTGTCAGGTCAAGTTTAGCCATATCCACCACGTCCCCATGCACATGCTGCTGCTGCTGGATCTGGTTCTGCAGCTCCAGCATTTCCTGCAATAGAATCAATAGAGCTGGCATGTACAAGTACATAAACTCTTTATTTGAATGTCCTTTTCCATACTTTTCTATGACTTTCCTGGCTGCATTTAAATTGCTCTGATGCATTGAACCCTAACGATTTGATACTCTGGCCAGTGGCCAGATTAACAAATACCTCAAATAATTTGGTCCAGTAATCATTGGGGTGCCGTTAGCTTATTAGGCAGTACATGTGCCGTGTTTCCACAGCAGACTGGGTCAGCTTCAGACACAGAAAAGGAAGCTTACCTCATCGTGCAGCTTCTTGAGGAAGATGATTTCGGCGTCGAAGGACTCAACCTTCCGTTCCAGGTCCACTCTGATGAAGACAGCATTGTCCACATCCTGTGTAGTGACACTGACTCTTAAGAAGGTGACTCGTGAAGGTGACATGAATCATACATTATGTGTTTGCTGACATAGAAGGAAAATACTCTTTCACACATGCTGTACAGGCGTAACTCACACAACAGCCGCGAACACAAAATGACCCTTTGTTCAGCAAGGCAAAGTCACAAACACATGCATCCAATAGAAATCAACTGCAGGCACATGACGAGTGTCACTGCAGATGTTTTCTCGTGATTGTCATGTGTTGTATATACCGCAGCACCTCTTAGGCCACTGTCCTCGAGTACGTCACAGGCAGATTGGCAGTGGTGGAACTGCACTAAAGGTCAGTTTTAAGGTACTTGAACTTTACTTGAGTATTTTTATTGTATACTTTATACTACATTATAGAGGTATCTATTGTACTTTTTACTTCTTTGACATTCAATTACTGATCAGTTTTCAAATTAAGAATTTTATATGATGAGGTCATAAAATATGATGCAGTGTTTTACTTTTAAACTACCCAGTAGTGTATAAAGTAGAAATTGGCTACTTATTGACATGTACATGACATCTACATGAAGTAATACAAACCAGGGAAAAAACTATATGATTGATAATATAACCATCTGAAATTTGTGTTTCAGCATATTTATTTACTTTAAATTATAATGCAGGACTTTGACTTGTACTTGAGTATTTTATATTATGGTAGTTCTACTTTTACTTAGGTATAGACTCTTAACACTTCTCTGGGGTTTGTCAAATGGTGCACACTTACTGTACAGTAAAACAAGCCGCATACCTGCCTAGACAATTACTTCTGGGATAAATGTCTAAAAAATAAATCAGTGATTGTTCTTTCTAAATGAATTTGATTTAATAAAAGGAGTCACTGTAGAGCACCCAGAGCCACAAAGCGTTGTTCAAGAGGCCTTTAATCCCATGTTATTGTTACCTAACTGCATTTTTTTATCCAAAAGTCTCTAAATTTAAACATTCCACTATAAGCTGTTACTGAGTGGTTTAACATACAGCAATTACTGCATTTTACCATTTGATAACTTTACTGAATGAAGCATAAAGCAAATGCTCTCTTCTGAAAAAAAAAAACACATTATAATGTAAAACATTGTATTGTATTCCAAACATCCTTCTATCTTCTATTTAATTCTATCTCTCGTACGTACACACTGGCTGTGGCAGCAGACCGCCTTGCTTTGTCAGGGTGTTGGCAGGCTGGTAATTGAGGTATCAGCAAATGAAGGAGCTTTGCCCCTGCTCTAATGCCACAAACAAAGTGTGCATTCAGCAGGGCTTCCCAAACCGGCCCTGGGCTGGAAGAGTGACTGTCTGCCTGACTGAGCGAGAGCCGGCTGCAGGCCCTGCATTGTTGACTCTGTGCCACCATGGCAGGGACAGACCACAGGGGACTTCCTTCCTGCCATTCATATAGACAAGGTCACGATGGTGTGATGTATTGATAACATACCGCATGCCCTAAGAAAGCACATTCAAGTTGACACTTCTTTATGTCTGCAGCTATGCAAATGCATATTTTTGTTTTTTTTGTCCGGTGACATTCATTTGAAACTTTTTTGCATTACCCCTCATCATTTCATTAATCACCAATAAACCCAGTGATCGGGAACAATCACTGACAAACCGATAACGAGTGACGTGTCTACGTGCGGATGCTTTCCCAGAGCGAGACAGCCGGATCACATGGTGGCTTGTCTTCTCGCTCTGATAACCACATTGGGCCCACACTGTTGTTGTGTCCAGCTCATTCAGTGTGACCAGTCAGACTTAAAAAGATCTCCTCTCACTGCAAGCCTGACTTAACTCAACAGCCACAACTTGGCCTTTTGTACCAGGACAGGCTCAGTTCAGATCATGGCTAAAATCTGCTGTTGTGCCACCAGAAGAGTGCATTCCAGTCTCTGCAGCTCATGAGCAATAATTAGATGGAGATCATGGGGGAGAAAATGGACATTTACACCACATAACTGTTACAAGTGAGACGCAGAGATAATTGAGGTTTATCTCATCTCTTTGACGTCACTTGTCATCAATTTAAAGCGATATTTAAGCAGGAATAACAGAAGGGCAGTGCTCAGGAGGAGCCATCAGCATCTTCTGCTGTTAAAACTAAGGTCATTCCCTTTTATCGCTCTCTTTGCAAGATTCCTATCTATCACATTTAAACACAACAAAGATGTACCTGATGCCAACAGTGTGAAAAACACTTTATTTCATCACGTGAATCATACTGTACCAATCTGAAATTCTGCATGGTGCCCTCAGCCTCCTCTCGCTGGGAGATCTCCTCCTGCAACCTGCACGGACAGACAAAAAGCAGGCCATTTTTTATTTTTTTATAACTGACATGATCTCCTTTTTTCTGCCTACTTCTTCACGCATGACAAACATTTCAGTGAGAAATAAACTTAGACAGAGAGCTGCGGCAACACTTCAAGTTCAGAATTTTGCGCAGTGCCTGGCATATATAAACTTAAAGCTAGAAGAAGTTGATGAATAATAAGGGAACATCCGCATATTGGCAATAACGGTTCAGGGACACAACGTAATCACATCTGCATTGAGTTTCTTTAACATCATACAGAGATCGGAGACGCCCCCCTTACTTCTCTCTCAGCCTGTCGATGTCTTCTACCAGGTTATCCCGGGAAACTTCCACCCGGGCCTTCTCGTTGGTCAGCTGGTCCACCTGGCGCCTCAGCTCCCGCATCTCGTCCTTGTACAGATCCCCGACCCGGGACGTGCCTTTGCCCCGCAGCTGCTCCAGCTCCGCCTGCAGGATCTTGTTCTGCTGCTCCAGGAAGCGGACCTTGTCGATGTAGTTGGCGAAGCGGTCGTTGAGCGACTGCATCTGCACCTTCTCGTTGGTGCGGTTCGTCATGAACTCGCTGTTGATGGCGTCGGACTTGGGGAAGTCCAGCATGGCCGCGGTGCTCCAGTGACTCTGGTTATTCGTCGCGTAGAAGGAGGAGGAGAACCCGTTGGAGACCCGTGGGGAGCGCACCGGGCTGGAGAACTGGCGGCTGGAGTAGCTGGTCCTGTCCGGGACTCTCTCTCCACCGAACATCTTCCCGTAAGAAGACTGTGGACCCACTGTATAAGAAGACATCTTCCTGGGATCTTTTTCTCACAGTAAGCTCGGTGCTGTTCTTGTCCCGACTGCATCAGCGGAGTGCGCCTAGGAAGGCGGTTCCTAAATCATCCTGATTTATAGTCTCCTCATCATGCAAATGGCTCTACGAGGACTTGACGGACATTTGGACTGTCCAATCAGAGAAAGGAGCAAGAGAAGGTTGTCT